TCGTATCCCAAGGTAACATTGTATTGTCTTTTTGGGGATTTTCTTTCTTTTTGGGTCACCCTGCCTCGGTGGGAGACGGCCGACTTGTTAAAAAAAAAAAAAAAAAAAAAGGAATAATTGGTAATGGTTTAGGGTGTCTCAATAATAGTAACAGACCTAGTAAAACCCCATAAAAATAGCCCCGGGGAAGGGACTGTTTTATGGTAAGGCCACACCAACCCTCTCCAAATATGGCAGGACCTACAAGCAACCAACCATAATTTAATATGAAGAGATACGGATAATTTTTTTTTTTTTTTTTTTTAGGTCTCGGGAATCGAACACCATTTTTTATGCCAGTTTTTCACTGCAAATAACTCATATGACACATGAAAGTATTTTTCAGGAACTTAACAACTTGACTGGCTGTGCCGTAGTACTATGGTTTTGTGGTCACTGGCCATGCCATAGTACTACAGCATGAGCTCAATTCACTCATAAACTGTAAATAGTAAATTTGGGACTAGATATGAGAGAATGGGTCAATATGGTAAGTGTACATCATATAAAAAAAAATGCTGCAGCACACAGTGCATAATGAGAAAAAACTGCGACTGTGTTTTTAGTTTAAAATGGCAACTTTGCAGTATATTTTTGTATGGTTTTTATGGTAACATTCTCAGTTTCTTGGTCTCTCTTAATAGAATGGAAGATATATTGCAGAAATAAAATGATTTTGATTGATTTCAGGACAGGAATTGGATTGAAATTGAGCTCAAAGTAACAAATGTTCAATTTTTGCTGATACTCGAGAGTAAACAAATCACGTCATTCATCCAATACGTGGCCAACTGGTGGGTCTAATATGCATTCGTGAATGTGCTGAATAAAAAATCAAGATGGAATTCATGTGTAAAGCCTGGGAACATAACTAATGAATAGAGGAAATGTTATTTTAGTGCCAGGAATGCCTGCATTGTTTATTCTAGACCTTATTTTGAAACTGGAATATTTTGAAATTTGTGTGAAATTGGCCAAATTACCAATTTCTGATAACTTTATTGCGTAGTTGAAATAGTTCATTGGGCGATTTCTTGTGCCCAGTTGATAAAATGGAAAACATGCTAGCAAAATAGCGAAGAATTTGGTCAACTGAAACAGTGTAGTTTGCCTAAAATAGGGCTCAAAGTAGGCAAAATCACTGATATGGAAATATCGCCGACACAAAATTTGCAAAAGCGTAATTTCATCAATTTTACTTCAAATTTTGTACTTTTTGTTTTATTACCTTCAGAAAAAGATTCTCTACCATTTCCTAAGAAAACTCTTGGACAGTGTGGACAAGTTTCAGTTTGGGGGTCTGGACAGTGAAAGGGTTAACCACCTTGTTATATGGAAGCCTACTGTGTATTCATAGATCAGTAGAATTTGTGGATATAGTCTAAAGTACTATATAAATTGTGGTATATAGAAAGTGGTTTTCCAGTCTCTTGCCCCCAGTTTTTCAAGTTAACATTCCTAAACCAAAAGTGACAAATCCCAGCTTAAAAAGAATTTATTGATGGACTCGTTATATGCTAACTCCCATTAATTAATGATTTTTTTTTATAAATTATTAAGGTAATAACTAGGTCAGTCTGAGTGCTTACAGTTTGGTAGACGGTGTTATTAGATACAGTAGACCCTTGAATAATATGGTAGTTATATTCCTGAAAATGGCATGTTGCATAAAGATCATGGTAAGCAAATTTAAGAACATGTAGGACCAATAGGGTTATGTGCCTATAACCTCCAAATAACTTAAATCATTTATTTTAATTTCTTATTTAGGCCAAAATAATGATCTAGAAGTATATTATGTACCCAAATCCCAAACAAAAATAGTTACTAAATAAATATACTAAAAAATAGCTACTGAATAAATCTGGTGTTTAGATGCTGGTGTTTGATACAGTATACCTGTCTGTCTCTTCCAGAAAAAATGGGCATGGCCTTCTGTCCAGAGAAGGCTAATACACCACAAGTGACTACTGTAAATTTATTGGACAATCTAATGAATATAAATTATGCAAAACAGTAACAAAGAATTTTACCATATCTTAAATTCTTTTTTTTCCTCTCTTGCTTGTAGATGTAGAAGTGTTTGGAGGAATGATAGATCATTTGAGTAGACAGTCATGAGTTGTATTTTATTAGCTGATTCTACTCATATTCAGGTCTCCTTCAATATTCGCGAGGATTAGGGGATCAAGAGCCTCGCGAATGTTGAAAAATCACAAAAGTTGAGTGTCCCAATATGTTGTAGGAAAATATAATACAATACTGCTTCCTTAACCTATTGAACCATGAACAATCATAAAACGTATGAAAACATCATAAAATATTGTAGTACCAGCCCATTGGTAAAGAAGGTGAAAAAGACTAGAATTCAAGAAAGAACTCATAGCAGAGTACCAATGTGGAGGAGGAAGAGAGTGGGGAGAATGTGCCTTCAGTGATTCTACAATATGTATGATACTATAGCAGCACAAATTGATGAAGGCTATAGCGCCAGCTAGCGATAAAGTGTAGCATTAACAGTGTAGCAAGTAAGTTAAACAATTAATCGATAGAAAAAGGACAGCACGAACCTAACTCCTTCAATGTTGTTGGAATTATATAGGGTGACTGACAACACCGCCATCTCTAGTCTCTACCACCTCTGCTGCCGCCTCAACCACCACTATGTACGGCTTATGTCTCAGTGGCCCTTATACACCCAACAACAACACAACATTTGTGACATACTTAATGACATATTTTATTCATTCTAGAACATAAGTCTTGTTTCTGTGTTATTAATATTGTTTGTCATATTTGATGAATTGTGATAGATAAATAAGCCGTAGAGTTGATATTAGTGTCATATTAAAGGACTATCTTGTCCTATCTCCAAACAAACTCTACCACCGCCACAATTCTTAACATGTAATGACATATTTTAAATATGATTGGGCAGCTGGGAATTCACGAATGTTCGAAGCCCGCGAAAGTGGAAAACTCAAATGTTGAGGGAGACCTGTACAGTGGACCCCCGCCTTACAATATTAATCCATTCCTGAGAGCTCATCGTAAGCCGAAGTTATTGTAAGGCGAATTAATTTTCCCCATGAGAAATAATGGAAATCAAATTAATCCGTGCAAGACACCCCAAAGTATGAAAAAAAATTTTTTTTTACCACATAAAATATTAATTTTAATACACACAAACTGAAGAAGACATGCACAATTACTACTCTACTAATAATAGAATACATGACACTTACCTTTATTGAAGATCTGGTGATGATTGATGGGATGGGAGGAGGGGAGAGTGTGGAAGTTATTGTTTAGAAGGGGAATCCCCTTCCATTAGGACTTGAGGTAGCAAGTCCTTTTCCGGGGTTACTTCCCTTCTTCTTTTAATGCCACTAGGACCAGCTTGAGAGTCACTGAACCTCTGTCGCACAACAAATCTGTCCATAGAGGTCTGTACCTCCCGTTCCTTTAAGATTTGCCTAAAATGGGCCACAACATTGTCATTGTAATAGTCACCAGCATGGCTTGCAATAGCTGTGTTAGGGTGATTTTCATCCATAAAGGTTTGCACTTCAACCCACTTTGCACACATTTCCTTAATTGTTGAAGTAGGCACAATGGATTCCACAACTGGCATAGGCTTCTCAGGGTTAGCCCCAAACCCTTCAAAATCTTTCTTAATTTCCATACTAATTCTCACCCTTTTTACCACAGGGTTGGCACTAGAAGCTTTCTTGGGGCCCATGGTGACTTATTTTGCAGTTACAACCACAAAAATCACTGGGATAAGGTGAAATGTACCGAATGTATGTGTGGATGCGACCGCACTGGCTGGCGTGTGAAAACTGGCTGAGGCCACACGTGGGACGTGTCCCGGACGAATCACGTAAGGCGAGTTATTTATCATGAGGCGAGGCAAAATTTTTGTGTTCAAATGCTTCATGTGGCGGATTTAACGTAACGCGATGCGTTCATAAGGCGGGGGTCCACTGTATTTCATTATTCAATTTTCTTGTTTATAATTGTAACAAAGAAGAATTTTATCCTACCTTAAATACCTTCTTTTCTTGCTTGTTGGTAGACTTTTTTGGAGATGGTTGTGATTACTGAGTGGTAGACAGCTGTGAGTTGTCTATCAACTGACAGCTATGGGTTTATTGTCCATTGAGGTTCAGAAGCCCAATATACCATATTGAGCCAGAGTCAGCAGCTGGCTTTCTCAAAGCCATATAAATCTCTAAATAGAAAATTTTTAAAAGTTTTACGGAGTGCTTTTCAAGGTTTTCGACATGCCATGCTTTATTTTCTCAGCTTTGTTGTCAAAAACGTGTTGTTTAAATTTATTTTATTCCAGGGTCTGCTGTGCATACAGATTAGTTTATAAGATTAAGGTTATTCAAATACATTATACGGTACAGTAAAAGTCTGATAAAATGGACAAATTGGGGAGGCTGTGTCCAATTTACCAAAAATTCTGTTAAATTGAACACTTCACTACAATTTCAGAAGATTTTTGTTTTTTAAGTTGCAACACAGAAAGGAAATTTAATTTCAGGGCCTTAGATGGTTTAAGGTTTAATAATAGACATTCAGAGATTCAGGGAACTAGTTAGCTAGACTAAGAGTTATGGAGGTGGAATGTACAATGCCTGCACCTTCAAGAGGAGGGTGGGGATGTTGTAGTTTGGTGGGTTGTCATTAGATGGTGATGTCTTGCACAAATGATGGATGTGCTTTCTACTTTGGGTCTCCCTGCCTTAGTGGGAAATCTTTTATTAAAAATTATTTGCAAGATTTATCAAAATCGGTTGATTACCTTTTATGATAGTCTGCCATTAATTGCTATGTTAGTTGTCATCTTACTATCATATACAAATGGAGTTCAAAAAATTGCATGTGAAAGTGCTCTATTTACTCTAAAGAAGCATTACTTCAATCATTAATCATTGTGTCTTTTTGCACAGGTACATAGAGCAAAGAATCCTATGTATGAATCAACTTTCTTAAAGGCAAAAACTGCAGCATATGCAAAATACAGCATAGAAGAGGAACGGAAGCTTCTTGAGGGGCAGCTGAATTTAAAAGAGAAGCATGCTTCTCTGGTATTAGAAGAAAAATTAATGAAGCAGATAAAAGAAAAGAGAGAGAAAGACAAGTCTGGTAAGGAAAGTAGAGAAGAGAAAACGGTGACAGACGCTAATGATGATAAGAACGACTGTGGCAGCATCAGAGTTGCCTCACGAGGACCAGGACGTCCAATTGACACAAAATTTGATCATCACAAGCATAGTGACAATTTGAAAAAACACAAGGATGATCATTGGCCTCCTTTGCCAGATGATTTTACCCCAAAAAGTAAATTGAAGGATGACATACCAAGGAGAGGAGAGTCACAGAAAAATGAAAGTACTCATTCTCATCGTGAAAAGGAGAAAAGAGATAATGCTGAACACGAATTACTTACAAATTCAGGAGACACTTCTAGAGATAAAGAGGATGAAAAGAAGTCTGTAGCTCCAAAACTCCCTCTGATTGGAAAAATGCCATTTCTGAAGAAAAGGCCATTATCAAAGAGCAAAGAGCAACAGAAGGCAACATGTGTTAAGCAAGAAATGTCTGTACATGATTTGTTGGCAGAAGAGGCTAAAACTATAACAAACTTAAAAAGGCATTTGTATAATTTGGAAACTAAAGCTGAAACTAAGGTAGAGAAAATGGGAGAAACAAATTCTATATTGGGTTGTCAGAAAAAAGAAATTAAGATACAAGAAACACAAGAAAAATTACCTGTGGCTCCAGACAATGAAGACTTAACAGCAGAAGTTAGTATGTCAGTGCCGCATGATATCAAGGATATCTCAACTGAACCGGAGAGCTCTCCTAAGGAGCAGATCACTGAATTCTATAATGTCGACGATGAGGATAGTAGTGACTCTGATGATTTCAAAATGTATGGTTCTCTGGAGACAGGAAATGAGGAATATTCTGAATGTGCTGCTGCTGCTACACTCCATGCTTTAGATCTTTTAAGCATCCCATTACCAGGCTTAAAACCAGTTGTTGACACTGTCCCACCATCCGATATTCTCTTACCACCTGGAACAGAACATGAGCCTCAAAGTCAAGAAAGTTTCAGCTTGTCTTTGCCACATGCAGCAGATGATGATCCTTCTGAAAGCAAATCATTTATTTCAGTGGCAGAAAAATCCCAGTCTATAATAACAACCTCTAAACAAGGTGTACTAGATCATAATTCAGGAGCTTGGACCACTGTTAGCAGTAGTAAAGAAAGTCAACAAAATTCAGCCTCTGGAAATGTAGAAAAATTAGAGATACTGTTTCCATCTGGAGTTGAAAATTTAACACACATTCAAGCAAGTGGGGACATTCCCCCTCCACCAGGAACAGAAAATGTTGGCCCAGATTACCTCTTAGGGTGTGAAAATGATGCAGTTGTTCCCCCAACCATGATGATACCAATCTTTGAACCAGGGTTTCAAGAACTTAGCTCAGGGGCATGCAGTGTTGGTAGCAACAGTCAAGAAGATTTTGGGATGTCATTTCCTATTAGGAGGGACCCAACTCCTGAAATTCCTCTTCCACCTGGAACAGAAGATGAACATTGCATTCAAGATATATCTTGCCTTCCTCCACCATCAGGAGTAGCAGAAAATATTTCACTGCAAAGTGATTTGGATAACCAAGGAGTTATTTCACAACCTTTTATTCAGAAACACAGTTCAGGAACATGTAGTTCCAATAGTAATAGTCTAGATGAGTTCCCTATTTCACTTTCAAATCCAGATATGACTAGTGCAACATTACCATTAAGTATGGGTCATCCACAGTGGCCAACATTACAGCCACCCATACCCACAGCAGTTACAGTTGCTACTGATTTTACACACTGGAGCTCATTGCATCTTGCAGAGAGAGAGAAAACTCCTCCTCCTCCTGGTACAGAAAATATGATTATAAACGAATTAGATGATGTACCTGCTGAACTTGGTGAAGCCAGTATGGAATTAAGTGAAGACAGTGAGAGTGATGGTCAGCCTGAAGAGAGAGAAATAACACCACCACCACCTGGAACAGAGTCAGGTTCTGAATCTGCAGGTATAAACAGCACTCTTTGCAAAAACGTGACTAATTCCAAACATGGTCCATTAATTTCAGAACTAGAGAGTAAAGCAAAAACAAATGACCAAGATTCTTCAAAAGATATTAGAAAGGCTTCTCCTCTGTTTGATAATAGCAAAGAAAACCCTTTTCTTGAAAAAGGAGAAAAATTTCTAGAACTCCCGTCTCAATTAAAACTGGAAAAAGAAAAGTTTGTGCTCCCTGAAGAGATTGCTTCTAAAGTGATGTGCAGCAATTCATCCACTTCTCTAGATACTGTTTCCAATTTTCCTGCCAGAGAGCATTCTTTGTTACTCTCTGAAACAAACAAGGGACCTGATTCAAAAGTGCAAATATCTTCTAATGTTAAAATATCACTGTATGATTCTGATTCAAATATCTACCCAGTAAATGATGACACTGTAAGCTCAGATGGACAGTGTAAAAACCTGAACTATGTACCAAAAGGTAGTGATAAGGCCAAAAGTTTAGAAATACCTGAATTTTCTCCAGGAAAGTTATCTTCAATTTGTGCAAGTAATGAATTTGCTGAGTTGGAGCCTAATGACAGTTTAGAAGTGGGAATGAACTTTGAGACAAAGGATGACACAAATGAATCTATACATTCAAGGGGAAAAATTCATACTCAGAAAACAGATATTAAAAGCCTAGTACAAACAAAGCCTTCTAAAATCAGTGATGAAAATACCAGACTACATACTACCGATATCTTGTCACAAAATATAATTAAAAAGACTGAAGGATATTCAGTTGATGACAGATTAGACTCGTATAATGAATTAGAATATGAAAAATATTTGCAAGCTGTATTTCCTGACGCACAGTGTATGGAAGAAAGCTGTAATTCGAAGGTTAAGCAAAAAAAAATTATTGAAGGAAGTCCTCCTCAATTAGACATACTAGTGAATAAGTCGCCAATTGAAATAGCAGAAACTGACCATTCAGTACCCTGTGAAAGTCAAATAGAAATTGCTAAAGCTGAATCTAAAAACAAATCAAAAAGTTTGAAAAGTGAAAAATTGGAAGTTTGTGGAAAGGAGGAAGTCATGCACAATCAGCTCCTTCAAGGTTTTGCTACAAAACTTGAAGTATCTACAGTAGGTGATCTAGAAGAATCTCGTGTAGATGAACACGAAATGCATGAGGATGCATCCAGTGACACCAAACCGGACAAACAAATTGGACAGCAGTCAGTTACAGATGAAGCTGCTACTGCAGAAAAAGTGGAATACAGAAAAGAATTTCCTTCTCCCTTAATATTTGAAATTCCTGCTTCAGAGGAAAACTCAGAACTAAAGCAATCAGAAATAATTGAAATAAATACTATAGGTGATGATTCTGATAAAGAAATAGTTATTGAAGAACAAAGAGTGAAATTTTCTGAAACTGGAAAAATCTCAAGAATGAAGAAAACTACAGATGAGCACCCATTCATTGTGAAAAAGCCTACTTCAAGAAGAGCACGTAAAGGTACAGAGAGAGCAGTGATTCAAGAGGAGGAATGCAATGTAGAAAAAGTGAGTTTACACAGATCAGCTAGAGCTACCAAATCTACTGTACTTAAAGAGAAGGACGAATGCTGCAGTGAAATAACCCCAGAATATGAAATGTTGGTATGTGAAGAAAATGTGAAAAGCAAGGAATGTTTTACTGCATCTAGCAGTAAGGAGGTAACTGAACCATCAAAAACTAGAGAATTGGCGGATAAAGAAGAAAGGCACTCTATCTCAAGAAAGACAACTCGTTCTAAGAAAGAAAAATGTAATAAGAAAAGGGAGGAAAACATATGTAAAGAAAAAATAATGACTGTTAAAAAAATTAAACCAACATCTGGCAAGAATCGTGCTTCTTGCAAAGAAATGAAAGTAAATAGTCCTTCCCGGTCTACCCGCAGTAGTAAAAAGGCGGCAGCGGCAGCTGCAGCTGCTGCTGCTGCTGCTGCTGCTGCCATGTTAGCACAAGCACAGGTATCTCCTGTCTCCTTGCCTTCAGAAGAGACATCTGGGGATGAGCCAGAGTGAATTTTAAATTATGACACTATAAAAATTTCAAGAGCATTGAGAAAATAGTCATAAATTTACAAGGTGAATTTCCAGGCATTCTAAATATAAGTTAAAAATTTTGTCTTTAATATTCTTTTAATGTTTCCCTCCAACATATTGTTCCCTTTGTTAAATTAGTACTGCATATTAGTTAATTATATTTGATGATTTTTTTATTTAATTTGCAAATAACCATATTATTTTGGTTATAGAAAAGTTAATTTGTACTTTGTCTCCCAAATTTTGTACGTGCAGTCTAAAAGGAAATGTTGTATATATTAAAATCGTGTTTAATGTAAAATGTGTATTATTTGTTTTTCATTATGTTAAACTAAAGAAAAGTCAAGTATGTGATACATCAGTATGTATTCATACAAGCACGCACTCATTTGATTTAACAAAAGGAGCTTTCATAAATGACTGCACTGAGAATTTGTTGCAGATATTAAGAAAATCACAGCAGTAAATGGTAATGGATGAGATAATGAACCTGAAAGAAAACTGATGAAGAGGAAGATCAAAATAGAGTAAAAAGATTAAAACCAGTTGTAAATGTAGGAAATTGAAGATACAAAGAAAGTAATATGTAAAACAAAGAAATATTGCACTTAGATTCAAGAACGTTTAAGTTGTGTGTGACAGTAATAATAATAATACGAGTACACATACAAGGTATACAGGCCTAGCTGACATCAATGACATACTTCTATATAGAGGGTCCCTTGTTATGCAGAGCATTTCGGGCAAATTAGGTCAGTTTTGTCCCTTGATGTGATCCACAACAGTTAACTAACACCCAGGTACCTGTTTTACTGATAGGTGAACATGGATGGCAGGTATCTTAACCCTTTCAGGGTTGGTGCCGTACTAGTACGCATAAATTCTAGCACCTTCAAATCTAGCGAGAGAAATCTGGTAGGCCTACATATGAAAGAATTGGTCTATGTGGTCAGTGTGCACGGTATAAAAAAATCCTGCAGCACACAGTGCATAATGAGAAAAAAAGAACTCCAACTGTGTTTTTGGTTTAAAACAGCGACTTTGCAGTGTATTTTCATATGCTATTTATGGTTGTATTCTAGTTTTCCTGGTCTCATTTTATAGAATGGAAGACATATTATGGAAATTGAGATGATTTTGATTGGTTTCACAATGAATTGTACCTTGAAATTGAGCTCAAAGTAGCAGAAATGTTCAATTTTTCCCAAGTTCAAAGGTAAACAAATCATACAACGTGTCCAATACACGTCAGCTGGTGAGTGTAATATTCTTTCACAAGTGCCCTGATATTATTTATACCACTTCTACGCCATTTCTACATGAATGCCTCTTCAAGGGGGGCTCCTTGGCGTGGTGAAGAGGCTCTTGGTCTGAGGAATTAGACCTGTTGGTCTCCTTCCTCAGACCAAACCTAATTACCCCCCAATCACCCCTTCCCTATCCCATCTTCCCCATGCTCCCTTTTTCCTTTCCTCCTCCTCCTCCCCCTTGTCCCCCCTTATTCCCTTCCTCTTTTTTGGCCTTTGGGACTCTTCCCAAAGGCCTACTGGTTCCTAGGTAGGGGGAAGGGTGCCAGGGTCAGTCCCATTCCATTGAGGTTCTTGGCGGTGGTGTAGTTTGCCATGGAATCTGGATCGCCTGGGGATATCCTGTTCCCTCTCCGGTCCTCCAGGGGGTGGCTTTGGGTGTCTTTCGGGTGACGGGTGTATCTCTGGAGGGCGCCTTTCGGATTCTGGGGGTGGTGGCCAAAGGAGGTATGCTTTGTGGCGGATATCCAGCCGCCCTCTCTTTTTGTCCAATGAGGAAGCTAGGCAGATGTGAGGTTGCTATCCCGGATTGCTGGTTTACTAGCATGAAGGGTAGGGTATGGCACGGGTTCCATGCCGCATCTGCACTACTTGCGGTGTTGAGGTCCTCTTGGGCGCAGAGGGTGATTTCCGGCCCTTTCATTCCTCCTAGGAACTATTCCTCCCCATTCCCTCCTTTTTTTTTCTTTTTTTTTTTTTCTTTTTGTTTTTAACCCTTTGACTGTTTCAGGCCCCTCTCTGAAACTGTCATTCTATGTCGCTCAATTTTTGAAAAAAAAAAAAAATATTTTATGAAATGATAGAGAATCTTTTCCCGATGGTAATGACACCAAAAGTTCGAAATTTGGTCGAAAACTCGTGGAATTATGCTCCCGCAAAGTTAGCGGTCTCGGCGACATATGCGTATCGGCGATTTCGCCGAATTTGAGCCCTATTTTCAGCCAATTCCATTGTTCCAGTTGACCAAACTCATAGCTATTTCTTTAGAACTCCATTTTATCTATCAGCTGAGTACAATAAACCTCCCATTTACTAATTTGGACTACCCAATATGGTGGTCAGAAATTGGCAATTTGGCCAATTTCACGCAAAATAAAAAAGATGCCAATTTCAAAATAGGGTCCAGAATAAACAAGGTAGACATTCGTGGCACTAAAATAACATATGCTCTGTTCATTAGTCACATCTCTAGGCCCCTCTTATATTATTATTGCTTTCTATTTTGATTTTTTATTCATACAAAAAAATACAAAATTTACTGTTATGCAGACGACTGCATTATTGTAAAAATGATATAAATAATATCAGTGCACTAGTGAAAGAATATTAGATTCCCCAGTTGACGTGTATTGGACGTGTGGTGTGATTTATTTACTCTTGAACATTGGTAAAAATCGAACATTTCCACTACTTTGAGCTCAGTTTCAAGGTCGTTTTCATCGTAAAAGTAATGAAAATCATCTCTATTTCTGTAATATGTTTTCCATTTTATCACCTAAGACCATGAAAACGCGAATACAACGATAAATACTATACGAAAATACACCTCAAAGTCGGCGTTTTATTCCAAAAAAACGATCAGAGTTTTTTTTTTCTCATTACGCAATGTGTGCTGCAGGATTTTTTTTATGTGGTGCACACTGACCACACAGACCCATTCTCTCACATGTGGGCCTACCAGCTTTCTCCCACTTGATTTGAAGCCGCTAGAATTATTGAGTATATATACGTCAGAAACATTGGCTCGTAAGACGTATTTATACGTCGAAAACAGTCAAAGGGTTAAGAAAAAAAAAAGTAACCTAACCATGGAAGCCCTAGTCCATGAACCTGCTACCCCTGGGCCCCTTACTGGTACTGCACCCCATTCTGACCCTACCTCGTTTTTTGACCACTCTTTGGACACTCCTGATGCCCCTGTACCTCTTGCTGGTGCTGTTTCATCACCAGCTTCAGGTACCAGGGTCTCGACTGACTCCTTCGATTTGTCTGACCTCCGCCCTCCTTTGACTGTGCTTCTGGCCTCTCCTTCTACAGTGCGGCAATTTTCGAATCGCCAGCCCGTCCCACGTCGGACCAACTCCGGTCCCATTTCTAAACGTCAACGACAATTTCCTGATGATGTTACTTCGTTACCTTCCCGTTCTACTCAGAAAAGACCAACACGTCATGCACTCCCTCTCCACACTCAGTTTTGGACCACACAATGGACTAAATTCTTTACTTTACGACTGACTTCTAGTGCCTATCTTTCCGACCATAGTATTGGCAAAGCGCTCCTACATGGCGCCATGTTGGTAGATATTTTTCCTTTCATGCTCTCAAGAGCAATATGCGCATCATCACTGTCCAGAATGCTACCCAAGCTCATGATGTTTCTCTCCTTTCACAAACCATACCCCGGCCGGGATTGAACCCGCGGTCAGAGAGTCGCGACGGGCTGGAGTTTTGAGACACACTGACCGCGGGTTCAATCCTGGCCGGGGTATGGTTTGTTTGCAATCGTGTCATTACGATTTCGTGAGTCTCCTTTCACATATCGATACTATTCTTATCACTATTGAAAAACATCATTCCCTCAATTCTTGTAGTGGTACTGTCATTCTGCCCCATACCATACTCCAAAAGAATTTCCAGACATGTGGCAATGACATTCTTGAACAGCTGGAACTCCAGGATCTCCCAATCCTCAAAGTAGACACTTATGTCCTTCCTGCCCGCGAGCGGAGACGATACTCTTGCAGTGTGGCTCGATTAACTTTCGACAGCTGTGAACTCCCATCCTCTGTTTACGTAGCTGGACATCGGTTGCAAGTTCGAAAGATGATCCCTACACCGCAACAGTGTAGAAATTGCTGGCAATTTGGTCACCCAGCAAAATATTGGAGATCTATAGCCGAATGCCCAGTCTGTGGTGCCAATGACCATACTAATACGTCTTGCAGTCAACCACCCTCTTGCCTTAATTGTCATGAGGCTCACCCTTTGTACTCTCGCCACTGCCAGGTCTACTTAAATGAGCATGAAATCTGTTGTCTCAAAGAGGCAGAAGGTCTCCCTTATGCTATGGCAGTTTCTCATCTTCGCCTCCAAGGGACACTGCCCCGTGTTTCTTATTCTCGTGTTTCCAAACGTCCCCCCACTTCTGGGGTCCCATCTTCTGCAGCCTTCTCTGTGATTACCCCTCCCATAGCTACTCCTGTATCTAATTCTTTTGCTGCCCTGGGCTCAGACATCCCTACTACAACACCTCAGTCTGTTCTCACATCTTTGCGTCCTTCCTCACAAGCCCCGGTATCGACAAGACCTCGTACGACACCTTCTACCAATCGCCTCTTTACTTCTCAGAAGTCCAAAAAATCCCCATTGCTCAAATCATCTTTGCCCCCTCCTTCCCTTCATCCACTTCTGCATTTTACCTTTCCAGTCTGTGCTTAGTTCTTCCCCTCTCACTGGCTCTATTACAAGTGTGGAGGTTCACCCTCCTCCTCGTACTGTGCCTTCCACCCCTGTCCCCTCCCAAGTTTCTCCCTCTTCTGCCACCTCCCATGTTTCTGCCTCTTCTGTCCCCTCCCACACTTCTTCTCCAGTCCCCTACACTCTTTCGTCCCCCCCTACTTTGGTACAGCCCATTATGGTTCCAATCTTTACTCACCCTCCTCCTTCCATCTCCAATATTGTCTCCCATACATCTTTGAATTCAGAAACACTTGAAGCTATTTCAGAATATATTGCAGAGACTAAACCTTCAATGGACACTGATCCACCTCCTGTTCCTTCTCCTCCCTCCCCTCCATTTC